AAATGCAATATTTTGTCTCAAATCCTGATGTGTCTCAGCCTCAGATGTAGACTTGTCTGGCTCCCCATTCCCCTGCCCCCAACTATCCATTTGGAAAGAGGCCTTTGGACTGAGGAGGAGTGAGAAGAAAAAGGCCAGTGGACGGCCTTGGGTGGCCTGTGCGTTTGTCTGAGTTATGCCCTGGAGACACAGATCCTTGGTTAAGGCTCATGATTACTCATTTCTGTAAGTGGGTAGTGGTTCTTGTCCTTTTGCCTACTTCCTAGGGACATTGTTTTTGGGGGAGAGGGAGCCTCCAGGAGATGGAGAAGGATTAATTAGATTTGTACTTTACATCCAACACACCTGTAAAGGGATTTGTATGTCTACAAGGGATTATAGCTTTTTAACCAGGTTTATAATTACGGTATTAGGAGGATTCGTGCATTATATGGAACTTCTCAGCCTTTAAAAATAGGGCAATGAGAAGAATAAATTTGTTTGCTGGAGATAAATTGAACATAATGGTCCCATTATGGGAAAACATCAGTGTATTTTATAGTCTAAATAGAAAAAAAAGGCTTTTCATTGATAAACATAATCCAATAAAAATAAATCAGTGAAGTGGTTAAAACATTATAGTGGAGGATATTTTAACCATAGAAATGGCCCATCTGCACAAGTATGTCCCATTTGTTTTTATTCTTATTCAAATAGTCTTTTCATCGGTTCTCTTATTAGTCAGGAATGAATGTACCTGTCTCTTGAAAGAGTTTTGCCTTTGTTGTACTAGCTTTGAGTCTCTTGCTTCAGTTTCTTCAGCTGTAGGTCATAAATGTATACATGACATTGTATGTGATAAATCTTCATTCTTGTGATTACAGGGTTTACTGATCTATTTTCAAGTGGGATGGGATGATTGAAAAGATGGAAAATAAAAAGCAGTGCTGTATTATGTGGTACTCGTTTGGTCACAAGTATCCAACTAAATTGAGCTGCTTACCTTCAAAAAGGGGGGGCATTTATAATAAGGATACAGGTGTGTCTTAGGAACCCAAATGCAAAGACGGGGTGGCTCTGGGGAATGAACAGGAGCTGGAGATGAGGAAGGGAACTCTAGTAAGTGTTCATTACAAGCACGTCTGTGATATAAATGTCACTAGCTGGAGAGGAAAACTGACAAAAAGCAAGTAGAAATCTGTGTAGTGTAACACTTACCACTTGAGCATGGGATTTAAATACGGCTCCCTTGTATTCTTTGGAAAAATCATGCTCATTATCAGAAATTCAAACAGTATTAGAAGTGAAAATCCTCTGAAATGTCAATAATCAGGGGTAATTATAACTATTTTGATAAACATCCTTCTAGATAGGTCTTAGGACATCTGGGAACATGCACATACAAATAGAATCACAGTGCGCATGGTCGTTTACCTATTTTATTCACGTGGATATCTTTTCATATCAATAAATACAGACCTACCTGTATCATTATTTCCAGTGTCTGTATGGTTTATTTCACATGTCTCCTGTTTGTGAATCTTGAGGACATTGACTTGTTTTCCCTCATAATTACTAATAATGCTGTGTTTGTCCACCTTTCTGCATATACAGTTAGTTAACTACTTTTGAGTAAATCCATAGAGGTAGCAATGCTGGATCAAAGACTGTCATTTTACATGTGGACAAAATAAAATAAGTGGTGGTTTACATCATGAGCTACGTCTGTAACATTGGCTGTTACCAGTCTTTGACATCTTTATCAGTCTGACAGGTTAAAAAAACCCTCAGTTTTCTGAAGTTGTATTTTTTCATTGTTAGTGTAGTTGATTATCTTTTCACATGTTTATTGCTATTATAATTCTTTTCATGGAAAGTTTATTGGCTTTGTCCATTTTGAGGGGAGTATTTTCTTACTGCTTAATTTTTTGCTTAATAAGGATAGCAACCTTTATGTGTATGCTGTGTAAATATTTTACCTAGTTTCTTATTTCACCCTTGGATGGAAATATCACCTTTTGTTCTTTGCCTTTAGTTTTGACTTAATTTTGCCATTCATAAATTTAAGGTTTTTTTTTCATAAATTGGAGATTTTATTAAGGTAGCCAGCCAAATGTCTCAGTCCTTTATAGTTTCAGTTTTTGATGCCAGGTTTATTTTTATTTATTTTTTAAAGATTTTATTTTTAAGCAATCTCTACAGCCAATGTGGGGCTCGAACTCACACCCCCGAGGTCAAGAATCGTGCGCTTTACCAACTGAGGCAGCCAGGCGCCCCTGATGTCATGTTTAGAAAGGCCTTTTCTGTCTGTATATTATAAAATTATTAGTATATTCTTCTCGTACTCCTCTGATTCTATTTGGAGTTTATTTTTTCCTCGGTAGAGATCTAGACTTTTCTTTCCCTCCTCAATAGCTAACCAGTACCATTTATGAACCAGTCTCCCACACCTACCGAGATACAGTTCCTTATATACTTAGTGTATTTCATATGAATACTTGGTTCTGTATCTGGGTGTTCTGTTTCATTGATTCACATGCATGTTGTCCCTCAGATACCTGTTTGTTAACTGTGGCTGAAGACATTTGGATTTTTGCAGTTAATGGTGGTGCTTCTCTGCTTCAAATTGGGTTTCCAGGGACTGAGGTGCTAACTGGTCAGTTGTGAATGGCTCAGAGAACTGGGAATGGATGGGATCAGTTGAAGCAAGAAGGGGCCACTTCAAGGACACATTAGAGAAATTACGTAGGAATAGGGTGAACGAGACAAGAAGAGCTCATATAAGCTAATTTTAAAAAGGACTAAGAGTGCCTGATCTCTGTTTTAAACCCTGGGGGTGGGGGCAAGTGGGTGAGGAAATGTATATATGGGGTCTTTGTTTAAATTCAAAACCATTAAGTACTTCTACCACAGGGAAGGGGAAAAAGTGTGTTTTTACCTCTTTGCCAACAGTAACATAATTTTGGTCTTTGAAATAACTGTCTTGGGACCTCAGTTCCCTGTTGGTAAAGAGAATTCCCAGCCCATGTGTTGTAGAGGAAATTCATTGTTTCCTGAGTTACTTCCTTTCAAATGCTTAGTGTGGGGGGGAAATGACCAATGTATAGATTGAGATTTTTTTTCCTCCAAAAACTGACATCTCTAACATAACTTGATTCCGATGATTTTTATTAGTTTTAGGTATTGATGTTGGAAGGCTTCTCAGATGCTTTAGGATATCTTCAAGGAAATCAACTCTTTACATAAACTGAGAATTCAGGTGAGTCCTTGAAAAAAAAAATCTTATCATTAGCCACTCCCCTGCATTGATAAAAACATAAGTGTTGAAACATTGTCACTTACACTGTCTCATCTGACATTTTCTGAGGCAGGCATGTCGCTGCCGGTCTTGCTACTTGCATTGATGTAGTTGGGTGGGGTGAAGATAGGGACCTGCAAGATGGGATGAGGAGCTGTGTTTAGCCTTCCTGCTTGAATTCTCATTTATTCACACCCGTGGGCTTTATAAACATTTTATTTTTCGAGTATGGGATAAGGAATTAATGTAGAAAATTCTAGTAGTCTTTGCACCGTGAAACTGCTTGATGGTTCTTGGAGCCCTCCAGGGATGGCACACAGTTGCTCTAACATGAGCTAAACTTTGGGTATAGGTTATGGCTTTCTCCGTTTGATAGTCCTGGGTGGGGCTGCATGATCCCAAGTAGCGTGTGTGAGGTACCCTCGGCAGGGACAAAGGTGATCTTCTGCAGGTCCTCGGTATGCCTGGATCGACCTTTGACAGGTTAAGAAGGGGTGGTTTATGCCCCTACACTCAAAAACCATATAGTGACACGCCAGGCTTACCGGTTCTGTTCCTGACCAGCTGCACAACTAGGGACAGGTTGATCTTTACTGGTTTTCATATACTCATCTATAAAACAACGGCTGGCCCAGCCCAGCCGGCTTCTCCCCCCACCCCGTTCCTCCCCACTGCGCGTGTTCTCTCTCTCTCTCTCTGACAAATAGATAAAATCTTAAAAAATTAATAAACTCGACAGTGTTTTAAGTTGTTGGATAAAAGGGTACAGAATCCTCCCTTCCCACCATTGTGGGCAGCCTCTGGCCAGGTGGTATCTGACAGATAAATGTGTACCTGAAATGTGGGACACTGAGAGCTAGGGATGTGGTGGCCCGGGTGCCTGACTCCAGGGAGACCAGTGCAAAGATCGTGTGTGAGGAGGGTGGGGCTGGGTGGGGGTGAAGGGTATGGCCAAGAGTTCTGAGCTGTGGGATCACATGTATATGGAACGGGGAAGAGGAGGGGAGCTGTCCTGCCCAGGACCCATTTGGTTGTGCGTGTTGCCCTTTGAGGACCTCCAGGGGGCACCAGGAGGTCCCGTTTGACGAAAGGGCCCAGGCACACTGGGCAGGAAGCACAGCAGACCCAAGCTTTTCCCAGGATTTCAGATCTGAAAGCAGTGTGCCAAGTGCATTCTTTTGCCATGGGTCCATACCGAGTGGAAGACTCTACTTTCCATTTACTTCTCCATGGGACGTAGGGGTGTGTATAGGGGGCAGCAGGGGTGGAGGACTGAATGAGTAGCACAAGAGGATAATGTGGGGAAGGAGCAACAGTTACGCCTCTTTCAGGACGCCTACACAATCCCGGCTGCTTTGGAAAGTTCTGTGAAATTATACTGTGGCCTACACTGGTTGGAACACAGCGGTTCAGTCCTTTGGAATTCCTGCCCCAGGGATTTCTGACTTGCCTTTCACATTCCTATTTTCTGGAAACTTAAATGAAATTTGACAGACTTACCTTGTATTCCCTCCTGTCAACCCAACTCTCTTAGTTTGCTGCCTGATTTGTATGGTTCAGTTGGGTTGCTTCCTGGGGATATTTATTTCACTGCCCCTTTTCCGGGAAAAACTAGATCAAACAACAGCAACAGAAACACTTGTCTGAAACGTGTAAGAATATGAGAAATTACCTGAAATCTTGACACTTCGGCGAGTGTCTAAAGTCGTGACTAAATGCTAGCAGGAGCTTTTATTTTGACATAAACCAGAGAGAGGAGAATTGCTTTAAGGGACCTGGGCCTGGCTGAGTCTGAATACAACTTAATGAATGAAAAACAAAATCAATCAATTGTGTTCTGAGTATTTCAGAAGGCCGGGCACTGCTGGGTGAGATCTTGTAGGGATGAACAATTAAGAATTGGAGACCGCCATGTTTCCCAGGAAAAAAGTGTGCTTTTAAAGGGTTGTGTGCATGAGAGAGAAGAGAGAGACTGGTAAAATGTAGATGGTGAGGGACACATGATAAATGACTTGTTTAGCATTGTACTTAATGACTCGTGATGTATTCCGGATTTAAGAAAAAAAATTGTAATATTCTGAACTTATCTCCATTTTCCCTGCAGGCTTGTAAGAAAAATATTTAAAAACTGATTTTAAATGAAAAACATTGTTTTTGGCTCTCTGGGAATTTTGAATTCCCAGGGCTGTTTTCGGAGAGGGTCTTGAATCTATAAAACTCAAAGCAGGATCTACATAGCTCTTTGTCGCTCTGTATCAGTCCCTTAAAAGCTATGACATCAGTGAAGGTGCGTTCCTGTGCTTATTTTTCTTCATTAAAAATGTAATCTCTTATGCACTTTTGTCTTCCTGCCATCCTCCATTAGCTGGATTCTTTGGATTCCTCTGCTTGTTGGCTGTAGGCGCTGCCACTTGCTCACCCCTCTGTGGGCTCCCTGAGTGGCTGGGAGTTCTAATTAGCATCATCCTAATTAGCAGCACATCCTTGATCAGGGTTCCCGGACATGTGCTAGGCTCCTCACTCTGCTCTATGTGCTTCGTAAATGTTACAGAACAACAATGATTTCCAGATTGTTTTTCATAATTAAACCTAAGAATACATGGGTATAATAGAATGTGCTGTTTCCTTACACTTTTGGCTAATTATGCACATCAGTTAATTTCTTCCAAAGTTAGGCAGCCATGTGGAGAGCTCAAGATTTGAGGCTTTTCTCAGAATAGATTGGATTTCATGGATTTAAGCGCTCTGTAATATTTGTGTCTGCATTTAAAGAGTCTCCTATAGAGCACAAACCTTTAAAAATCCTGAATTTTAGCTGTGAAGTTCCATATTCTGAAGACCTAATATGATCATCAAAGCTGTTCTGTTTGCCACAAATCAAAAGTGGACAGCTTTCCAAAACCATTAAATGACTAGTTTACTTGCAGAGTTTAAACATGACTTTAAAATAGAAGTAAGCACACTGTAAGGGCCAGCTGCAGTGGTAAAGGTTGAGAAAAACCCTACTGCTATGATCTAAGCAATAGTCTTAGAGAGGATCTTTCATTTAAAATAATGTAAGTCAAAGTAATACATGCAAATGGTTAAAAATAGAAAATCCTGCAGAACAGCTTAGAATGAAAAGCAACAAAGGTTTTTTTTTTACCCCACTTCTTCCTTCACTTAGTCTTCCCTTTCAGAAGCAACCATCTTTTTTTTTCTTGTAGATCATTTTCACTTTTGTGACTTCCACATGGATAAATATTATGCTTGCAGCACCAGTTCTCACGTTATCAGTTTTAAGAGCTGTTTATGGTGTCTTGTTGTGATTACTGATGAGCTCACCCTGACCATCCCTGTCTCCCTTCCTCCCTGCAACTGATTCACGTTTTCAGTCCTATAGCTGCTTCCTCCCTGTACCTCAGCGGCCTTCTCCATTCTTGTTCTGTCTCCTATATAGGCCGTTTCTTGTTTACCACCCCGCCCCCCATCCACATCTCCATTTGGGGCAGCTGTACCTTCGATTTTCCTCAGCGAGGATGCAAGGGAGAGAAAGCATGCAAGAGGGAGAGGCAGAGACCCCCACGGAGTGGGTTACCCAACGGGGAGCTCAATCCTACCACCCTGACATCATGACCTGAGTCAAAACCAAGAGTCGGAGGCCTAGTCACCCAGGCGCCCCTGTACATTTGATTTTCTAGTGCTCAGAGTTGGTAATATTGTTGTTAGTGAGGGCTTCTGTGATTTTACCTGTGACTCGATTCTGCATGTGAAATCCAAAAAAGCAGCATTTACTGTGTTGTGATCAAGGTAGCATCCATTCCTGTCACAGCCCAGTGTGTGGTGAGATTATAGTTTCTTCCCCTCTGGGCCTGATGGCCCCACACCTCCGTGGAGCATGTTTGAACCGATTCTCCCTTTTACGTGACACCAGCCGTCTTAGGCTCGGCCTCGGGTCTGCCCAGCCTCTCAGTCTTCCCATCCTTCCTGGAAACCCGCTTTGTGTTTGGAGGTCTTACTCCCACAGCCCCCTGCCCTCCACCTTCCTCCAGAGCCATTTAATCTCAAGGTATGCTGCCTGCCTCTAAGCAAGTGCTCACGGCCAGGAAAAGCTTACCACTACTACTGTTGGAATAATAGCTTCAGGCTCTGGTGTCTTTGAAGGGCCAATAACCTGGTGTTTAAAATTAGCCATCATTTATTGAGGACCTGATATGTTAGGCATCTAGGTATTTGAAGCCTGGTGTCTGTTAAAATCCTCACACCAGCCCTGTGGGACAGAAGCATTGTCACTGCTTCCGTGAAGAAATTGAGATCTGGATCAGAGACTCCTCCAAGGCCTCCGCGGGCAAGTGCTTCTTAGATCCTGGGGTGAGCTGGGGGCATAGGTGTGGGTTCATAGGTGAGAAAAGATTTGTCCCTCTCTGGAACATCTCGCACCCTTTCCTCAACACACCAGACCTCCCCTCCCTCCCCGCCCCTCCCGAGATGATTGCTGCCCTTCTAAGGAAAATCAGCTCTGCTTAATTCCAGCCCCATCCTTGCTGTGGGTATACTCTGGGGCCAAGAACTCGTTATACAGAATTCTGTGACTGGAAATGGGGCTGTGGTGGTCCTTACCTACTCCGTGTTCCCTTTGTGAATTTGAAGTGAGAAATGGGGCTTCATATATCCTCAGCCCTGCTGGGAAGTGGGGAAGAGGTGCTTTGACCCTTTGAGTTGGTTGTCTGCTTTATGGGCAGATAGCCCATGGTTGAGCGGGTGGAGTTACTCTAGGGCCCTCTGTTAAGTCGTGGTGGCTTTAATGTCTACTGCCTAAGTGCAAGTAGTGCTTACTTACCAAACAGACTGACCCATTCAGTTTATGGTCTGAAGTAAGCAGAGAATGAAAGGGAAATCTTTAGAGCAGCACCTAGTTGACTTATGGAAGAGATAGCTGGCCTTAGTGAGGTCCAATCTTTTTTTTTTTTTTAAGATTTTAT